TGGTAGAGAAAATGGAAAAGTTCCTCCAGCAAAGTCATACATAATGGAGACATTTACACAAGTGTAGATCAGGAAAGGCAGATCATTTAGTATACCTGATACAGAAAGAAGGCTTAAGGCTAGGTGATGGTGGTGCACACCATTAACTCTAGCACTCGGGAGGCAGAGGCAGGTGGATCTCTGTGAGTTCAAGGCCAGTCTGGTCTATAGAGCAAGTTCCAGAACAGTCAGTACTATGCAGAGAAACCCTGTCTTAAAAGATCAAAAAAATAAATAAAAATAAAAAACAGAAGAAAAAGAAAAAAAAGAAAAGAAAGAAGGCTTAAGGACGAGAGTTCAGAGCCTAGCACCCAAGTCAGACAGCCCACAAATACCCGTAACCCCATCTCCAAGGGAAACTGACCCCATTTTCTGGCATCTTAAGGCACTCCTACACACATGTACACATTCACTCACACAAATATACACACAAAAATAAAATAAAAATTTTAAAGCAAGGTCTTGGCTGAGGATGTAGCTCAGTTGGTGGTACTCAGTAGAGAGCACTTGCTGTTCTTGCAGAGACACAGTTTCGGTTTCCAGCATCCACATGGTAGCTCACAACTGCCTGTAATTCTAGGGTCAGATCTGACACCCTCTTTCAGCCTCTATGAGCATTGAATGTATGTCACACATGCGTATGTGCAGGCAAAACACTTATATGAATAAAGATTTCTTTTCAGTTATGTGTTTCTGTGTTATAGGTATGCGTGAAAGTTTGGGTGCATGCTTCTTCTGTATATAGGTATGTGCATGTGAGTTAGGGATGGGCATTTGAGTTCAGGTGCCCACAGAGGCCAGAGGAGCCAGATTCCCTGGAGCTGGCGTTACAGATGGTTGTAAGCTGCCTGACATGTGTGCTAGGGAATTGAACTCGGGTCCTCTGCAGAAGCACCACACACCACTGAGCTACCTCTCCAGCGCCCAAAATAAAGAAAAAAAACTTGTCTGTTGCCTGGGTTGTGGTGGCACACACCTCTCGACCCAGCACTTGAGAGGCAGCGGCAGGCGACCTCTGTGAGTTTCAGGCCAGTCTGGTCTATAGAGAGAGTTCCAGGACTGCCAGGGCTGTTACACAGAGAATCCCTGTCTCGAAAAACCAAAAAACAAACAAGCCTGTCAACCTAATCCAAAGAGCAAGTTCTAGGACAGCTAGGGCTACATAGAGAAACCCTGTCTAAAAAAAAAAAAAAAAAAAATCCTGGGGCTGATAGAAGGCTGGTTGAAGCAGAAGACTGGGGCTATAAAGGCCATTGTTATACTCTGCAAAGTAGGTTAAGAAGTTTCCAGGTTTTTCGTGTTAGCATTTGTGGATAGGCAAGCACTGTACCACTGGGCTATGACACTAGCCTGGAACACTGACTTCTGTTAACAGTGCATAGTGGTCGATAGACACAGTAGCAAAAGTTATTAAAAATATACAGTGACTACTGCTACATTATCAGCATACTAACTTTTTTTCTGTATCTTGGTTATAGATTTCTGACATAAAGATTCTTGGAAAACATTTTTCTGAATTAAAAAAAAACTGAGTTGCAATTTCCCCAATATTTCTTTGTTGTTGAGCTTATTTCCTGTTTATGATAATTTCCTTTGATATACATAAAAAAAGGATGGGTTACAGGTTAGCCAGATAAGTAGTTAATGAAATTTATTTCCAAAGTCTGAACAGTGAGCATGAATAAAAGGGAGTTAGAATCAGATTATTTAAAAAAAATTTTATTGAGGTAAAATTTACGTAACACAAAATCCACATTAATCATTTAAAAATACATAATTTAGTATATTCCTTTAAAAAGTAAGCAATTTTCTGCTTTTTAAAGATTTGTTTGTGTTTTGTCTACATGCATACATGTGCCCATGTACATGTCTAGTGTCCTCTCAAGTCAGAAGAGGGCATCAAGTCCTCAGGATCTGGTGTTAATGATGACTGTTAGCCACCATGTGGACTGAACCCGGGTCCTCTGCAAGACCAACACATGCCCTTAACTGCTGAGCCATCTCTCTAGCTGCCCCTACACTGTCCAAGAAATCTACTTTGTAAAAGGCATTTCTGTTTTTAGTTCAATAAAAAATTAATACACATAACTTCACTAATAGAAATTCTAGGTTTACAAACCCTTCACCTTTTCTGCTGGGCTTGGTAATAATCCCAGCATGTAAGGAGAAAGCAGGAGGGTCAGGAGTTCAAAGTGATCCTCAGGTCCTCAAAGAGTTTGAGGCTGGCTTCCACATGTGTGCAGTGGCACTTGACACCCCCCACATCCAAACAAACAAACAAACAAAATTTAAGGAACTAGAGAGATAACTCAGCTCTTCCAGAGGACTCTTAATTCCCATCACCCACATCAATGAGCTAACAGTCTGTAACTTCAGCTCCAGGTAAGTCAATGTCCTCTTCCGGTTTCCACTGGCACCTACACCTAAGTGGCATGTGTATGCACACATGCGCACGCACACACATGCACGTGCATCTTAAGAGATGGTTTAGCGGGGGCTAGAGAGATGGCTCAGTGATAAAGAGCATTGGCTGCTTTTCCAGAGGACCTGGGTTCAATTCCCAGCACCCATATGGCAGCTCACAACTCCAGTTCCAGGGGATCTGATGTCTTTACATCAGTGCACATAAAATAAATTTAAAAAAAGAGAGAGAGAGAGAGATGGTTTAGCCAGTTCAGAGCACTTGCTGTTTTTGTAGAGGGCCGGGTTATGTTCCCAGCACCCACATAGTGGCTCAAGACCATCTGTAACTCCAGTTCCAGGGGATCTGATGCTCTCTTCTGACCTCCAAAGGAACCAGGTAAACATTCATATACCTAATTTTTCTAAATTAAAAATAAAAGTAAATCTTTAAAAAGACCAAGTCACCAGGTATAGTGGCAGACACCTCTAATTCTAGCACTGGGGAGTCTGAGGCAGGAGGACCAGTCTAGGCTACACAGCAAAACCTTACTTTATGATTCTGGCACCCCAGAGGAATTCAAGGCCAGCTTGGAATATGTACCAAAAACTTGTTTCAAGAGAAAGAGTTAATTCATTACTGTGGACATTCAAACAATACCAATATGGAGGGCAAAATGTGAAAGCATTTCCCTTACAACACCACTAAATGCCCAGGGACAGCAGCTGTTAAGAGACTGTCGTGTTCTAACACACTTTGCCCATACATATACATACACTTACAAATACAGCTTTAAAACAGGACTTGAAGGGTACAAAATTATGTATTGCTTTGCATATTGTTTTCTACAAAGAATGGCCTGGGCTGGGTGGTGCTGGCGCACACCTTTAATCCCAGCACATGGGAGGCAGAGGCAGGTGGCTCTCTGAGGTCAGCCTGGTCTATGGAGTTCCAGGACAGCCAGGACTACACAAAGAAACACTGTCTTGAATACCACCCCCCCCCACACACACACACACTGCTGTCCAACAAAAAAGAATGGATTGGGATTCTCCAAAAAAGTCACACCAGGGGCTAGAGAGATAAATCATGTTAAGAGCTCTTGATGCTTTTGCACAGCACCCAGGATTGGTTCCTAGCTCCCATATGTCAGGTCACAACTGCCTTCAACTAGAGTTCCAGGGGATTCCACACCCTCTTTGGGTCTCCATGGAGGTGGTGAGTATGCATCCATGAAGCAAACACTCAAAAACATAAAAAAGCCCTATCAATTTCTTGGCCTAGCATAAAGGTTGCTCACTAGATCATTTCTTTGATAATTGCATTTTTTACTTTCCTCCTTTTTCTTCCCTAATTCAATGTTTTCATTTGCTATTTTTCATTTTTTGTTTTTTCAAATGGGGTCTCATGTATCTCAGACTAGTCTCCAACTCACTTGGATGACCCTGAATTCCTGTTCCTCTTTCACTACGATGTTTTGAACACAGGCATGGCCACCATGCCAGGCTTAGCTTAGTTTTTAGTCTTATGAAATAATTCAAATACTCAGATAGATACAGAAATTAGTTTATTTACTGATTTAACAGCTGTCATGTTTATCGGGCATTTCAAAAATGTACACATACTTTTGTGTACTAAAGAAAAATGCAGACTGCATAGGAAATAGCATCGGAATGAAGGGCTTTAGTGTACTTCAACTATAGTAGTTAACTGTGTAAAACTTGGGTTGGTTTTCCATACCTATAAAATTAGAGGGTATAAACAATTGTTACTAATTGTTAGTAGTCTTTTAAAGCTCTAAAAGTATATGGTTCTAAGTCACAAACGTTCAAAAACACAGTGCTAAGAGCCATCTGTTCGGACTGCTAAACATAAAGCTAAAAGAAAAACAACTGGGTGTCTCGGCTCATATCTGTAAACCTGGAAGGCAAATGCAAGATTTTCATGAGTTCGAGTCCAGCATGGGCTACAGTGGGAGAATGCTTCAAAGGAAACAGAACAAAAAATAAAAAGAAAGGAATATTGTATGTTTCCCACATCTCAAAGTCAGTCTGTTCCACAAAGGGGTGGCGTGGGGTGTCTTAGTTTGGTCATTCGTGTCCGTCAAGCACACAGAACACAGCGGAGCACGCTGATAAATGGCACGGAACTGGCATCATCTCACATCTATTTCTCCCACTCCTGGGCTGACAAGACAAGACAGCTCTTACACACGTCCGAGGGGAGCTACATGGTCGACAACAGAAGCTTTCATTAAACCCTCTGGGAAGCAGATCGGGCTCCTCAGCCCGACACCCAAATCGGCCCGAACTCCAGAAGTGTCACAACTTGTACCTGCACATTCCCCAGCTGCTGAAAGCCAGTTAGTCACCAACTTCAGCCTGCTTTTGAATTCGAAACCCCACAACACAAGAAGTTACAGCTCCCGCTTTTGTGAAGCCAACTTCCTCCCCAAGGCGGAATCCAAGTCACGCCCAGCACAGATCCCGGGGAAGGAGTGAGCTGACCCTCTCTAGCCCCAAGCCGAGAAAGTCCCTGCAGCTGGCAGGAGCCGCCTCACCTCCTTCTTTCTTTGGGCAGAGGCCGAGGGAACTCTGGAAACGAGCAGCAGTGCCACCGCCGCGGTCGCACACACACACCAGAGCCACCTCGGCGAGGCCATGTTCGCTCGTCTCTCTCGGTGGCCGGGTGAAACTTTCTTCCAGCAAGGTTCGAGGGTGGGGCGTGAGAACGGGCGAATCGAACCCTTGCCGCTCCCCATTGGCCCGGCTCGGCCCTGCAGGGCGACCCCTCACATTACGTCAAGCACCGCAGACGCCCGCTAAAAATCAGTTCGTTTCCGATTGGTTCCAGGGAGCCAATAGGGAAAGGATAATCTGGAGGTTTCTTATTGGTCTGCTAAAAAGCCTGCACCGCCCCTTTCGTGGTGCGTAAAGACGTCGCGGCTAGCGAATATCAACGCGCATGCGCAGCGGTGAAAGGCTGCGCTTTTGTGGGGGGAGGGAGGAGGGGAGGCGTGGTACAAAATGGTTTGTTCGTTTAAAAATGGAATCATCTTCCAGAAGGCGTTCGTTAAGGATTGTTTGAAATTCGAGCTGGTCTCAGTAATCCAACCATTTGGTTTGAAATGTGAAGGCAAGCGCACCAAGAGTTCAATGTCATCTTTGGCTACATTGCCAGGGTTTCAGGCCAGCCTGAGCAATGTAAGATTGTCTCAAAAAAAGATGCCGGGCGGTGGTGGCGCACGCCTTTAATCCCAGCACTCGGGAGGCAGAGACAGGCGGATCTCTGTGAGTTCGAGGCCAGCCTGGGCTACCAAGTGAGTCCCAGGAAAGGCGCAAAGCTGCACAGAGAAACCCTGTCTCGAAAACCAAAAAAAAAAAAAAAGAGCCCTCGTCGTTTCTCATAACCAAAACCTCAGCATTTGGAAGGTGGAAATGGATGCAGGAGGATTAGGAGTTCAAGAAATTAAACAAACCTTCAGAGTTCCCGTCTAGCCTGGGCTACAAGAGATCTTATATCAAAAAAGCCATTTTTTTGAAACCTACTTATTTAGTATAATATTCTGGAAGAGGGGTTGCAGAAATGTCTCAACAGTTAAGAATATTTAACTCTTCTTGAAGAGGATGCTCCCAGCATCCACATAGCAGCTAACAACCGACCAAACTTCCAGTTCCAGGGGATCTGATGCCTTATTCTGATGTCCACAGGGACCTGGTACACATACATCCATGCAGCCAAAACATTCATATAAACACAGTTGTTTTTTTGAGACAGGGTTTCTCTGTATAACAGCCCTGGCTGTTCTGGATCTCGCTTTGTAGACCATGCTGCCCTCGGAATTCATAGATCTGTCTGCCTCTGCCTCCTTGGATGAAAGGCGTGTGCCACCACCGCTGGGCTTTCTTTGTTTTTTTTGGTGCATACTGTTTTTGCAGATGGCTCGAGTTCTGTTCCCATTACCCACGTTGAGGTGCTCACAATTTCCTGCAACTCCAGCTCTTGGGCCCAGGATTTCATGGCCTCCTCAGACATCTGTTCTCAGTGTACATACTGAAACAGACACCAACATATATGATTTAAAAGAATAAAGAATTTAAAAATATTCTAGCCAGGCATGGTGGTGCATGCCTTTAATCCCAGCACTCAGGAGGCAGAGGCAGGCGGATCTGTGAATTCAAGGCCAACCTGGCCTACAGAGTGAGTTCCAGGACAGCCAGTCAGGGCTAGATATGGAAACCTGTTGCAACTATTGCAAGTTCCTCCCCTGTTGCCACCAGCAGCCCAAGTCCCCACCTAAGCATTCCAGCTTTTGACCATACATGGACACAAACCCAGCTTGTGACTGACACATCATCACCTACAGGCTGTATAATTCCCCTGCTTCTCCCGCCTCATCTCTGGGACTGGAGATCCCACCCAAGAGTTGCTTTGCTAAAATAAACCAGTTCTACATTTTCAATTCGGCTTGATCTGGCTTACTAAGTTGGCCGAGAAACCTATTATCGGGGAACAGAAAACCTATTAGTACCCACTCACATGAGTGATAGGAGCTGAGACCCCAAAGTATTTAAAATCAAAATGAAAGAAAAAAGTAAAAACTGTAATCTAGGCACTGGGAGGCTGAGGCTAGATTGCTACAAGTTTGAGGCCAGCCTGGGCTACAAACCTAGACCTATCAAAAGTGTGGATTGGTGAGATGGCCCAGCACAGCAGGTAAAGACACTTGCTGCCAAACCCAATCTGAGTACAATCCCTTCGGTCCACGAGGTAGAAAGGGAACCAACTCTTGCACATTGTCCTCTGACCTCCACATATGCACCATAAGTATACATGTGCACACACACACACACACACACACACACACACACACACACGCAAAGAAAAAATTTAAAAAGTGGATTTTTTGGGGCCTTTTTGGCAGCATATATACTAAGTTTGGAACTACACAAAGACAACTGTCATGGCCCCTAAAGAAGTTTTTTAAGTTTATTAATGATATTTTAAAACTCTTCACTAAAAACTTAGAGGACCAAGAGGGCTTTACAGACAGCCCATGCCTTTTTACTATTTAGTTTGTTTTGTTGGTGGGAGCAAAAGTAAGGTTGTGAAGAAGTATTTCCCTCTTTTTAAGGATCTTCAGTGATCTCAGCCAGTTTTCATCAAACACCCAATACTCATCTAAAATTAAAGATAATGCTTTACAGCTGAGGAAGATTCCATTTTTTGGTCCAGTTCTGTTTACTGTTTTATAGAGCATTATAAAACTGAAGTGATTCACTAGACAATAGTAATGCCCTCAAGAAGAAAAATCACAAATGATAGTAAAATAAAATCAATCTATTTATAAGTTGGATTTATTTATTTTGCAGTGCAGGGGATTGAGTACAGGACCCCACTCAAGCTGGGCGAGCATTTTCCCACAGGGCTGTATCCAAAGGCCAAGTTGCATTTATTTTGAATGTGCGGAACATATTATGTGATTACTCTTTCAGGTCCTATTGGAAAGCAAAATCCCCACAGAATTATTCCACGATTTGGAGCATTAAGGAGATATGCATTGAGAGGAAAGTAACTGGTCTGAACGTAAGGAGACAGAAAAGAAGCTGACCATGGTGACCTGTAATCCACGCACTCAAAAGATAGAGGCAGGAGGAGCAGGGGTTCAGGATTAGCCTGAGCTACATAGGGAGTTCCACCCTGAGCTACAAGAGACCCTGTCTCAAGAAAACAGAGAGAAGAAACAGAGACAGAGAATGCAATAGCCACATGTAGCCCATGCAAGGAATCCCAGCACTTGGCAGGCTGAAGGCAGGAGAATCACAAGTTTGAGGCCCACTTGGGTTACATGGTGAGTCCCAGTCTCAAAGAAGAGAAAAACGTGTGAATATAGGATATGAAAATATTAAGCTGGGCCTCATAGGGCAGCTTAATTCCAGCTACTTGGGAAGCTGAAGCAGGAAGATTGTAATTTCAATGTCTGCCTGAACTACAGAGTGAGTTAACAGCAATGTGGGCAACTTAGAGCTTATCTCAAAATTTTAAAATGGTTAAATTAAAAGTGTGGCAGCTCACATCTATAATCCCAGCTCTTGGGAAGCTGAAGCAGGCCTTGAGACCAGCCTTGGCTACATAGTAAATTCCAAGTCAGCATGGGCTACAGGATGAGATCTTGTCTCAAACAACGAAACAAACACATACATAAACAAACATACCAAAATAAGCATGGGTGTTTGAGTGTCTTTATTGTATGCTGACTTAGATTGCTTCAGGTATATGATCATTTGGACAGAATACGGTACAGAATCACCAATGACTATAATAATAAAACACAGTGGATGGAAGCTTGATTCAGAACAGGAGCGTCACAATGCATTCTTTATGTTACTCTTTTTTTTTTTTTTTTTTTTTTTTTTTTTGCACACAACCCTCCTTTCCTCACAAGATACTTTTTAATTACAAAGAGAGTGTAGTGATTTTAAAGTGTAGAAATCTGGAGCACAGTGCTTTGATTAAATGATTAAAGTTCATACTATCAATAATGGGACATTCTAAAGCTGCATACTTTCTTTTTTAAACATATTTATTTATTTATTTAATTTATTTTGAGACAGAGTTTCTATGTGTAACAGTCCTGGCTGTCTATGGAACTACCTCTATAGACCAGGCTGGCTTCCAACTCACAGAGATCCGCCTGGCTCTGCCTCCTGAGTGCTGGGATTAAAGGCGTGCGCCACTGCCCGCCGGCCCCATAGTATTCTTGCCAGATGTACATAAACTGAATGGAATCACTCAAAAACAAAGAGGCAAGTTGATATATCAACAGACTATATTTTTCAAAAATCAGAGCACAGACACATAGAGTCATTAGCATCATCATTACTAGTTCTAACACTATAATTGCTTCACATTAATCTTAATCCGAGCTTGAGCAAGATCACTTAAGAATTCTGTACCTTACTCTCTTCATTTGTAAAACTGAGACAACAAGCTTATGTCTATGGATAAAAAAAATTAATGCCAAGCCAGGCGGTGGTGGCGCATGCCTTTAATCCCAGCACTGGGGAGGCAGAGCCAGGCAGATCTCTGTGAGTTTGAGGCCAGCCTGGGCTACCAAGTGAGTTCCAGGAAAGGCGCAAAACTACACAGAGAAACCCTGTCTTGAAAAACCAAAAAAAAAAAAAATAATAATAATGCCAGAAAAGACAAAGAAAGGCTGAAAACAATAGATTTTTAAAGGAGTCTAAAGACACATGGTAACTAAATTCAATGTTGGGATTTAGACTGAATTCTGGATAAAGATCTTGGAAAAACCTGGTGAAATTGGAATATAAGCTGTATTATATCAGAGCTTTTCTCAATTTGGTAACTATATTGTGGTCATACAACAGTCATATATATATCACATATGGGGGTTGGGGATTTAGCTCAGTGGTAGAGCGCTTGCCTAGAAAGGACAAGGTCCTGGGTTTGGTCCTCAGCTCCAGGAAAAAAAATACATATATATCACATATGTAAATACATGAAAAAGACAAAATACACTATCCTGTCCCTTTAATATTTTATTATGAAGGTACCCAAAATGGAGAAAGATTAAATCAATTATACTGGAAATATTCACCTCAAAGGTTCAGATTCACTCAATATTTTATTTTATCTTATTATTTTATTTTCCTATTTGTTGACAGGATCTCATGCATTGAAGGCTTTGTGGTGGAGGATGGCCTTGGACTTCTGTTCTTGCATTCACCTTCTGAGGAGAAAGTATAGATATGC